GGAAGGAGTAGGTGGTTCTAAACGTCTTTCCAGTTTTGAGATTCTGAGATTCGATAAGTGCTAAGGACAAACTCAACATCTTTGGTTCTCCCCATGACATACTTGAGAGAAGATACTGCGTTCATCTTTATGTATCTAGTTCATAAAGCAAACTAATGCACATGTACATGAAATTGTCCGTGATGCTGTAACTCAAGGAGATATTTAATGGCAGCATGGAGTCCATGGTCCGCATAGTGGGGGAATGTGTTTTCATCCCATGTCCATCTTGAAGCGATTCTTTCTGTCACAGAAAAGGGTACAAAAAGCCCATCTCACCACCTCATCATGGGAGAATACAGACTCGGTGAGATTCCTATGAACCTCCACAGAAAGAAATAAGGAAACATTATGCAGAGTACTTGGAAAAATATCTTTTTCTCTTTAGAGGTCATGAGGGCTATGTATTAAAAATCTGACCTTTGAGCAGTTGTAGATAGAACCCATAGTTATCTGACATTGATATTAAATGCCCTGATACAAGGAAGCAAACATACCAGAGTAGACCAGTGAAGGACAAGAAGAGCATGGAACACAAAGAAGAAGTTCAGCAGAACCTGCACAATGAAAAAAAAAAAGAGATAATACATCAGACCAGGAAAAAAAAATCTGTTAATCACAATTCCCTAGTGGCATAACCAATTTCAAATCAAGATTAACTGAAATTAATATAAAAACTACATTATACTATACAGTGAGCTACAATTACATATAACTTAACTAATTGTTTAATAGTGTATATATTCTCATTCTACGATTCAGTCATTTGCTACTTAAATTCTTGTTGATTTTTTATAAAATCAAGGGCAAAATGCACCTCCATATAGTATTATGAACGGATATGTGGACTGGGGAAGACACCATCTAAACTGCAGACGTAATTCTGATGCCCATTGTGGGTAAGGACAGGGGAGTCATCCTTTGCAGACTGCATTACAGACTGCAATCCTAACACAGTTTATTCAGGATAGGATGTTTACATGTTACATACGGTGATGTTCTAAAATTTGTAAATTAACAAATCATCACAAAGTTATTGTGATATGTACATGAGATAGTGTATATACATAGAAATACCCTCTACGCACAATGCCTGGCACAGAGCATGACAAGCCAAATGCAATTCCTCTGAGCACAACTGTTACGGATTGAATAGTGTTCTCCCAAAATACGTGTTGGAATCCTAACCCCTATTCCTGTGAATATAATCCTATTCGGGAATAGGGCTTTCTCTGCTTTGTTAATGAGGGTACATCAGTGTAGGGTGTGTGCTAAACCTAATCGCTTCTGACTTACAAAGAGTAGTACAGACACTGAGACAAGCAAGCATAAACAGGGAGGGAGGGGAAGAGATACCACATGATGATTGCCAAGAAACCAAGGAAACCAGGAGTGACAGACACAGAGGCTACAGACAATAAAAGAGACAAGGATCTTCCTCCAGAGCCGACAAAGAGAGAAAGTCTTTCCCAATAGTAAGTGCTCTGAATTCAGACATCTTACCTCCTGAACTGTGAGAAAATAAATTGATATCCTTTAAAGCCACCCACTTGTGGTATTTCTATTACAACAGCCCTAGGAAACGAAGACAGCAAGCCTGAGACAGAATACTAGAATATGAGGCTATCTCTGAAGGACTGGAAAAGCAGGGCCTAGTGGGACAAGGGGAGACGAGTATTCTAGTTTAAAAGAGTGTCAAAACAGACAGAGGGTACAAGCAGATGAAATAAGGAAATTGGGGAGACAAAAGAAATTCCAGGTGTCTTGAAGAAGGGTCTTAAAAGTGAAAGGATTAATTCCAAATTTTCCAAAGCAGCTCCTTGGAACACTAGTCCAGCAAGATATTAGAATAGGTGATCCACCAACAAATAGTTCCCCGGTCAAAGAATTTTGGACAACAACATACATCTGCTTTTTGAAGGATCAAAATATACACCAGCCTAGTAAAGGCTCTGACAAGCCCTGCAAAAAAAAAAAAAAAAAAAAAACCCCAAAAAATACTTAACCTGGTATTTACCAGAGTTATTTAATAATAAAATTAATTTTCATCTAACACCCATTTTTGAGTCTATAGAGAATTCATCGGTAAACACCTTTTCAACTAGAGTAAAAGAGGCATATTAATTAAGTTTTTATTCCATATAATTCTGTGGCAAAATAAAAAAAAAGCATAGGTTTTGTATTCAGAGAGACCTGAGTTCAAATGCTCCACCTCTATCTATATAGGTGACCTCGATCAAGTTACTATCTCGCAAGTATCCTCCAAAGACGATGGTTATGAGGGAAACACCTTTGGAAGGATCATTAATTAATGGGCATTTAACAGTTTCACAGTATTAAAATTTAGATGAATAAAAACTACAAAGAGCAATTGGATTGAAGATGGTGATTGAATAAGGAAGCTATGGAAACAACGAGAATCCTTAGTAAGCTTTTAGAACTCTTAAACATGGAAGGATTTTGAAATAAAATAACTATGCATTCATGACTGAATGCTCCTTATATCTCAAAGATGTTAAAGGCTCTGGCAAGAAAGCAATTGAATTGATGCTTTAATTTAGTGGTTCTCAAATGTTAAAGGATATCAGAATTACCTGCAGGGATTTTTAAAACGGATTGCTGAGCTCCACCCTAAGAGTTTCTGATTCAGTAGATCTGGAATGAGGGCTGAGAAAATTCATTTTTACAAGTTCCCAAGAGCTGCTGATGCTCATGCTGCTTCTTTGGGAACCAATGCTCTATGTAGCATGGACTGTAGGCTGATGAAGGAGGCCAGCTGTGGTCTGACATACTTGGAGAAATAGGATTAGTCAAGAGACTGGATACCAAAAGAAGACTGAAGTGTATGTAGGCTTGGTAGGAAATAGCAAATTGTAAGGGTAAGAGGTTTTGCACAGGGAGTAAGTTATAGTAATCTAAGATTTTAGAGTTGGACACTGTCATAGATTGAATTGCGTCCCCCAAAATATCTGTCAACTTGGCTAGGTCATGATTCCCAGTACTGTAAGACTATCTACCATTTTGTAATCTGATGTGATTTTCCTATGTGTTTTAAATCCTATCACTATGATGTAATGAGATGGATTAGTGGCAGTTATATTGATGAGGTCTACAAGATTAGATAGTGTCTTAAGCCAATCTCTTTTGAGCTATAAAAGAGAGAAGTGAGCAGAGAGACATGGGGACCTCATACCACCAAGAAAACAGCATCGGGAGCAGAGAGTGTCCTTTGGACCCAGGTCCCTGCACCTGAGAGGCTCCTTGACCAGGGGAAGATTGGTGATGGGGACCTTCCCCTGGAGCGGACACCCTGGATTTGGACTTCTAGCCTACTAGACTGTGAGAGAATAAACTTCTGTTTGTTGAGGCCATCCACTTATGGTACTTCTGTTAGAGCAGTACTAGATAACTAAGATAGAAACTTTTCTGCATAAAACAAGAAAAAAATACATTGCCTTGGAAGATGACTAGATTTGAGTGGGCCAAGGAATTTTTAATTGGTAAGACACTGGAAAGTCATCCAAGTGAGGGTTAAAATTTCCTGGTGGTAATAGTGTCATAGAGAGGAAAACAGTGTGAGCATCCCACATGGGTGAAGAGAAGTGATTGGTAAGATTATAGTGACAAAGAAAGAAAGAGGACAGCATGACAAATGGCATGAGCCTAAAAAAAAAAAGAAATAGAATGTTGCTGCTACTTCATGGCGCACTGACATATGACAACTGAAATAAGAAACAGCCTTCCCTGGAGAAGGCTAAGAGGGAAGCACTATCTTCCATGAAGAATCCATTTCAAATATGGCAAGAGAGGTGTGGAAAGTGTTCTTTAAATAGCATTTAAGGATAGTCAGTTTGCAATTGAATTCCGGCTCCATAGGAGATAGTGGAAAGGTCTGGAAAATACATGAAAAGAGGTTAAGAATATAAATACATGAGAAACTTCTATTCTTATAGGATCAGCGGAGTAAGGCAGAGTAGCCAAGGATAACAGGGATAAAAGACAAAGAATTAACTGATCTCAAATTTCTGAACTGAATTTTGGCATGAAGTTGTTCTATCATAGAGACTGATGCTGGTTCCCTCTGTTTTGAAGTAGGTCTCCATATACTGAGGATAGCCCATTATTCCCCCTACTTGTGGGAAGGTAAGAAATGAAGCAGCTTTGGCGGGGGAATGCACAAGCAAGCAAGAGCCCACCCTCTGCCCACTGCCGTCAAGTCAATTTGGACTCATAGCAATCCAATAGGATGGAGTAGAACTGCCCCATAGGGTTTCCAAGGCAGACTGGAAATCTTTACAGAAGCAAACTGCCACCTTTTCTCCCGCAGAGTAGCTGGTGGGTTCAAACCGCAGACCTTTTGGTTAGCAGCCAAGCACTTAACCACTGTGCCACCAAGCAACAGAGTAGCCATCAAATCTAGAAACAAAGACTGTATACACAGACACACACACACACATACATTCTTTTTTTTCTCACAGGTTGAACCCTCTTGATTCCTTCTTCGGATAATGCTATAGGTGCAGCTTTGTTTAGTAAAAAATATTGAAACAAATAATTTGAGGCAATGCATTACAGATGTATGTGTAGGGATTGATGTAAATGTGGTACTAATGCACCATTTTCATGGCAACTCTGACTGAACTATCATTAACACTGAGGAAAAGAACACATTGAACATATCATGAGATCTCACTGGACATACCATGTTTTGTAGCGTATATCAGTAAGTCCTTGATTGCATATAGTTACCTAGGTTTCTAGATGCTATGGCCTCCTGGTGTAATCGGAAGATGGTCTGGCTTTGCCACTTCCTAAGAGATCTCTGAAAGTCAATCAACCAATTTGAACTAAATGTATTCATTCATATGCTCCTTCATTTAATTAATTCAGTAGATATTTATTAGATAAATACATATTGAATACATGCCTGTTTATTAAATAAATATTTATCGAACGTTTACTGCGTAAAACAGAAATTTAAGACTAATTTTTTCCTACTAGGTTAACTTCTGGAATTATTGTGGAAGAAATTTATAAATTATAAAGTATTTTATAAGTCACAGAAATTTTTAAAAATTATTTTAAATGTTATGAAATGGATAAATCTTTACGTCTTGGTATGAAGGAGAAAGCCCCACACGATTTACGTTTAAGAATATAAAGAAAATCTATGTTCTTGGTTTGAAGAATGTTTAATTGTACTAAAGTTGATATATAGTTTTGGAATATTTAGTCAACATTTCAAAATCAGCATTTTTGAAGAAATTTGGCAGCATGCTTTGAACAGTTGTTCTACTTGTAATCCTTTACTATGGGATTGAAATCATGCTTAATGTAATTACTAAATGCTATTTATTTTATTCTGTCAAAACTTTAATTTTTCTGTTTATCATATATGCCTCCCTTAATTTTCTGGATGACTCTGCTTGTAGATAATAACTGGGAACACAGTATAAATATAAATCAAGTTGAAGTTTCTATTAAAAGCAGATTTCCTACTGAAACGTATTACTCCTTCAGTTTCTTTATATGTCACTTTTTCTTACTTTCTTATTTT